TGAGAAAGAGAGAGAGAGAGAGTGTGTATGTGTGTGTGTGTGTGAGTGAACCAGTTAAACAAATTATTAGGGCTGTCAGGTGATTAAAAATCTCATTAATTAATTATTCAATTGCATGACGTGCTGATTAATTCATCTAATTAATTGCACATCAATTTTGATGAGAAATAACCCCCAAAGATAAAATCATTATTGTGTTAGATGAGGAAATCATGGAATAGACACAAAATGTACAAAATCGTAGCTTTAGGAAGAAATATTTTATTTGATTTAACATAGAATTTATTACACATAAACCTTTTAGGCTACAATATGGCCATAACGTTGTTTTCAGAAGTGGCATGTAGGTGTATTGAATGCTATGAGATTAAATGGTTTTAAATGGGCATTAATGGGTTTAAAGAGTGAATACTGAAATACGAAATGTAAAAAAAAAATGGAATGGCACTCTAAATATGAAACTAAACGCATAGCAAGTCATTCATTCAACTGATTCGTTCAAACGCTGATTCATTCATTCTTAATGTACGAGTCACTGAATAATCCGTGTATAATTCGATCATTCGTTTTTTGATTTAATATTGAAAGTAGAAAGATTAGAAAACGGCTCCTTTTTAGTTTTTTAGTTTTTTTCCAAAAAAGGAAAAACTAAAATTCTGCTTAAATGTTCGTTTTTCGTTCATGGGTGGAAAAATCACTGACTCACTCGATTCGTTCAAAAATGTGGATTCATTCAGTAAAGAATCACTGCTGTGGCTTTGTTTGCAAACACAATATTACTTCTTTCTTGTTTATTGAACTTGTATAAACTCAACGGTGCAGATATAGGGGAGAAACAGCACTCTTGCATATGTTGAATTTTAGGCTCATATAACTGCATTCTGATAGGCTTCATCACGCAGTCAGTCAGTCGTCCTGCATCATGTTCATCAGACTCTGCATCAGTGTTATTTCCCATAATTAATCACACCAAAGGAATGCATTAAATCCACAGCCCTACAAAAATGTGCTTTATGGAAAGAGTTTCCTACTTTTTCATTTTGGAAAAATAAGTAAATAAATGAGTGAAACTTGTTTGTGTATTACTTCTATAATTAGATTTTCTGTATTTGTCATGAAGTCCATCTGATGTGTGGTTAATCCGTGTTTTTCTTCGCTTCAGTCACGAGACATAAACCGAGCAAACAAGAAGGAGGTGAAGGAGGCCAACAAGTACTACTTCATCGAGTCCTCCATCGCTCTCTTCATCTCCTTCCTCATCAATGTTTTTGTGGTGGCCGTCTTTGCAGAGGCCTTCTATGGCAAGACCAACATGGAAGTGGTGAGCACTTTCATATCTGCTTCCTTTATGAGAGGCTTACAGTGGGATATTTTAGTGTGTTTCACATTTGAGTTTGTGTATGAATTAGGGCTGGGCGGTATGACGGTATAAATCGTTACTGCGGAATAAAGTGTCTATCGTTAGGGTTTTTGCTATATTGTGTATTCCGCGGTATGCAAATATATATATGCGCAACATACTACTTACAGTTTTTCTCGATTGCTCAAACACATTTCTTGAAATTGTGCCTCATTTCCTCTAAACACAAATCCATAACATCTCACCCAATTCCCCAAACTTGCCATTCTCAAGTCAAAATGAAGCTCTCCACTCAAAACCATTCAATCTCGCTGAAAAAAACTAACTTTTCCCTCAGACATGACACAGAAGCCCTCAGAAACACACACTACACCGCAGTCTCACACACTAGTGAGATCAGTTCATAACACGGTTGCAAAAACCTTCTTTTGGCAATCAGGTATCGTTTTACAGCTCAATGTCTCTTACAGTATACAACATGTTAAAAAGAGCAGATACAGTGAAATTCAACAATAAGCTTTAAGAAAAGTTTATTTTCATTACACTGCTGTAAAGAGACACTGCACTCGACTGAATCACTTTTGGATCTTTAATGAGAATCAGTTCATGTCTGATCGATACAGTGAAGACTGCAGTGTTTTATTTATACACTTCATTCAATCTCTGTAATATTTCTTACCACATGCTAAATAAGCCTAACCTACAGTAGCTGAATAAATTAAAAGTTTATTTCATATTTATTTGTTCAGTTGTGTTTGTAATTTGCTTCTTTTTCTTTTTTTTATGACAAAAATAACATAAAATAGCTATATAAAGATATATATATATACAGGGCTTAAAGTTCTCCGGCGTGCAGCGTTTAAAAAAAAATCTTGTTGATTGACATCACTTTCGAGTCCATGAGTTCGCCTACCAATGGTATGAGAGGAGCACAGCTTTCACTCTCAACCAAACTAACATTACTAGCCAATCAGAATGTTTTGCTCTTATAAACACGAGACACGCATAATATTATCCAACTGCAGAGTCGCAGTCCTGATGAATGGAGAAGCGCGACAAAAAGCTGCGAGGCGCAATGTTCAAAGATGTTCATCTAGCGCATATTTACATAGAAAAACTAATTAAAAAGCAGCGGAGCTTTGTAAACAGCTCAGAGTAATCATGTCATCTCCATAAGAACGATATGATTGCCAGAACAAATTTACATACACATGATCTATTAATGGTAACTTGCCGGTAATTTACCAGTAAAGACTGTATGTG